CAACAGGTACCACACAGAATGAGGTAACAGATGCATATTCAGTCTGCCTCCACATAACAAGACATCCCTCTGCACCTTCATTCCCAGCCATGGGAAGCTCATCACATTAGGCACAGCCTTAAACAAGAGAGCCCTTACACAGCTACACAAAGGTGCCAGGTCATTAATCCACACCATCACTTTACAGTGTGGCACCAGGACAGAATAACTGCACGTTACACAGTGACATACAGATGGCACAGGAAGGAAGGAAGGTCACTCTTTACTATCTGCTTTTATGTGTCATAACATTATTAAATGTGTGAACAGTTTTGGGAATTTTAATCCTCCCACCACACCAGGAAATCACACTCAGTAGGAAATGAGATCACGCTAAACTGTGTTTAAAACAGTGGGATTTTGTTTCCAATCATGATTCACATATACTCCTCCTGCTTTGTCACTTCCTAGCACTATTTCCAGACCAGACCCCACAAGCCAGATGATGACAACACTTTTTCATCAGGATGAGAGGAGGAATCCAAGGAACAGGGGAGAACTGCAGCTGGCAGCAAAGTGGTTTGAAATTTGGGTCAATTTTCTAGAGACAGGGGACAGAACTGACTGGCTCAACACAACAAGGGGACTTTCCCAAGTGGATCCTGAAAAGCAGCAGGCAGCTGTAACCCAGTCCATATCTTTGACTGGGTTACAGCTACCTGACTGGTTACAGGACTTTGACTGGTAACAGGACTGCATCCAAGCCACTCTCCTGTCTTTGGTTTCTTCTTCTGGCTTCTCCACACCTGCAGCATATCAAGGGAGCCTATCAAGTACAAAGGATTTCAACTGCAGTCATCAGCCAGGCATTTTGCACTGCACCAGAGGTGAGGCAGTCAGTACAAGACAAAGCTGAGACTTCGTTATGGTCTAGTTTCAGGGTTTTGCTATCACTAAGGCACAGTCACAAGAACATCCTTGCCAATTTGTGTGTGGCAACAGCAACCAGAATTATCTCCTGAATGAAGTGGATTGTTGAAAGCATCCACTGGAAGGCCCCAGCAAAAGGCTTAAATCATCATCACTGCTCTGTTTTTTTCATAGAGATGTTTGTTGTTTCATTTCCTAAAGTGGATTACTAAAGTGTCCTTTAATAGGACTTGGAAAGCCTGGTTAAGCTGCTTTCTCTCACTCTTTTGCCCAGATGCTGGCTTCCTGCCCTTCCTGTGTCAGCCATCCCAACACCCTGGTGCTGAGAGCATGGTTACTACAGCTCTCCCACCTTCAGAAGCAGCTTCCACATCCACCAAGGCAGGGATGGAAAGCGATGGCAGAGCAGACGTTTCACACTGAGGGAGGCAAAACAGGAAGGCAAACCAATGGAGCATGTGAGAATCAAAATCCCCTCTTCTTAGTATCAGTCAGCTCCATTACCTGTTCTTTTTTTGCCTTTGCAAGGACTGAGGTCAGTCCTAGAGCAACAACCAGTCCAAAGGAGACAGAAGAAGCCCCTGGAGAGCTCTCTCTTGCATATGTTTGCTGGCTGAATCCCACTATTCTGTGGCCATGGAGCAGATGGCCAGAGCCAGTCCTCCAGGCTGCCAAAACTGACTCCTGTTTGCAGACAAGCAACTGACAAGACTATCTCGCCTTCAGGAAGAAAAAAACTCATGAGCAAGCTAAAAGGAGAATTTGAAGATGCTCATAAATCCTATCATTGAAGGATGGATTTCTTTTGGACTCAAAAAGGATTTAAAAGAGTCCACTCTTAATAAAAAAACGCATAGCAGAAAATGGGAACAGATTTTTCTCAGTGGAACATGAAGAGAAAACTCTAAGAAATCTGTATTCAAGGTAAAATCTGAAGAGGAACTAACAGGAAAACCTGAATTTCCCAATAGGAATAGCTGATTTGTTTGGCTACTGCACAGGTGTCAGCAATATGCAAATAGAAGAGTACAAGGCAAAAGGAAGGGAGTGACTTACATGTGCTCCAGCTCTCTTTGTGTATCTTCCAAAGAAATACCCAGCAGCACACAGAGGCCTCGTCCTATTGAACTGATTTGTTCACCACCCACTGCAGAAAGGAGAGAGGGAAAAGAAAAATAAGGCTAAATGCACTGTCTTGTTTTATGGCACAAGATAAGACTGGTGTCAGCAGTCCAACCACTAAAGAAAACAGCATCCTAAACCATGTTTCCTGTCTTAAGTTTGTAGATTTGAAAGTTCACATGGAAGCATTCTTTCAAAAGCTTTCCAATGCCACCACTTATTTATCACACTGGGTTACTTACTCCAGCATTTAAAAACATTGTCTGAAGATTTTTATACTACAATTGCATTAACTGTCCTAAACAGAAAGGTGGTAAAACTCTCCACAGTCCTTAAAAAATTATCCACCTGGTTGATGCAACTAATTTTGAGTGTTGATGCACTCAATTTCTCTACTCCACCATTCCCTTCATACTTTGCCTTTTTATTGAACAGGTGATTTCTACCAGATAGGAGTCCTCATGGATTTTTTTGAAACATGAATTTCAACAACCTGCAAATTAGGCCCTCCTAATTGGGAAAACAACCCCTTTAACGACATTTACAATAAAACACAAACTATCATATATCTGTAGTGTTTTCCTAAGAAAAGTCTTAAACTATCTTAATTTAATAGAATTATTTAACGTGGTTCACCCTGAGATTACTATAGTAAGAATAAATGCCTGGTGCTGAGATAAGCACCAATTACCCAGCTGCTAAAACTGCATCCAGGCTCATGACCGGGACAAAAAGCTCCAAACATCCCACAAAAAGAAAGGGGATCAGGTCTCCAGTGAAAGCTGACAGTGTCTGCGCACTAGTCGCTAGATCAGGGTATGAGTCCTCCAGTCCACAAATTTGTCCTGCTAAGTACAGCGCTGTCCACCAAGCTCTTCAACAGCCAGGAACAAGAGTCTGATTCTCCCCAGAAGAGTGGTACTAAGGCAGCAAGAACCCGAGTGCTGACAGGGTGTGCCCAGCGGTGGCCACGGTCCCGGCTGCGCACAGGGGCTGTGCCCTCACAGACACAGCTGTGCACGGGCTGTGCCCGAGCTGCCACACAGGCAGAAGCTGCTCGAAAACTTGCAGGCCACCCTGCCGCACACCAAAGACTGACACAGCAGGCACTCACTGCCTCACGGGCAGACTTCTTGGGGATTTAAAGCACCCTGAGCACCAAAGCAGTGCAATAGCAGGGACATTCCCTCAGGACACACCGTTCCTGCGGGAACCGGGGCTGGACCCAGGCGAGCAGTGTCCGGTGGCACTGGGACAGCACCACTGACACACACCGGCAGTGCAAAAAGATGACCCGGGCTGCACTGCCAACATGCCTGCGATGGACGGAGGTGACCGCAGCGCCAGCGCCTGCGAGCCCCGGGAGAGGGACACCGGGATGGCACTGCCACCACACGCACGGCAGCGCCCGGCCGTGCCAGGGCACCCCACTAACACAGCACCCAGGCGGTGGCACAGCACCGAGCCTGCCACAGCCCAGGAAGCGCTTGGACACTGCACCCCGGCACACGGTGTGACTCTTGGGCATGCCCTGTGCAGGGCGAAGAGCTGATCCCTGCGGGTCCCTTCCAACTCGGAATACTGTGCGATTCCATGAACACAAGCGAAGCAAGACGACTGCGACTGTGCCGCCAGCACAAAGGCGCCGGAGGAGGCGATGGCAGCGGGTCTGGCAGCCCACGCCTGCCAGGCAAGGCTGCACACAGAGCTCCACGCACGCCCCACACACACGCACCCACGGGGGCCGGGCACCCGGGGGAGCCGCAAGCGAGCGGACCCGCGCCAAACCCACGCGGGGGGACAAGGGGAGGAAGCGCCCGCACACACCCACACGCACACACAGACACCGGAGAGCCGCCCCGGCCCCCGCAGCTCCGCGGCCGGGACACACTGACCTGTGACGCTGGCCTGGGCCACCCGCTGCACGATCGCCTTCATGGCGCAGCGCAGCGCGGCCGGCGCCGAGCGGGGACAGCGGCGGCGCCCGGCAGCGGCGGCCGCGCCGCGCCCCGCGCGCAGCGCCCCCCGGCGCACGGGAGGCGCCGGCGCAGCCCCGCACCGCCGCTCCGGGAATCCCACGGGAGAGGGACAGGCGCGCACGGACAGGTGCTGGCCTTCCTCCTAGTGCCTGTGGGCACTTGGGGGTGCCTACCAAAAGGAGAATATGCACGTAACAGAGCGGCATCCGCTATTGGAACAGCTACAGGGACACAGCGGGATGCCTGTAAAAATTAGTGGCTTGGAGGAGCGCTTGGGAAAAGGAGGTGGTGGCTGTACGGACCTGAGGAGTCCTTGGGGGAAGGTGGGTCTGTAGGTGCATAGGTCTGGTAGGGATTGGGTTGTGAAAGCTCCTGCAGAATCAAAGCTGTGGGCTGGAAGGGCAAGGACACTTTGCACTAGGCCAGGTTGCTCAAGGTCTTATCCAAAACCTGGCCTTGAGCACTTCCACAGCTGGGGCACCCAAACCCTCCCCGGGCACCCTGTTCCAGTGCCTCACCACTCTCAGAGTCAGGAATTTCTTCCTCATATCTAACCTAAATTTCCCCTTTTTTTATTTGTACCAACTCCCCTTTGTCATATCACCACAGCTCCTGACAATGAGTCCCTCTCCCTGCAGGGCTCCTTTCAGAAATTGGAACGATCTGGAAGCTAAGATGTGTGAGCAGAGGAGACAGAGACAGCTTTCCATACAGCAAGATGGGAAAACTTAGAGACCTGTGTGGGGCAGGGCAAGATGTGTCCTAAAAGAACTGTAGGGAAAGCCCCAAGAGAAACAGGGAAGGTGACGTCCATGAGGACTAGGGAAAACCCTACAGAATGAACATTAGTTCTGGTCCCAGAGCTGAGGGACAATACCCTACAAGGGGGACATAGAATGTGAAAGGATCAGGAAAACCCCTAAAGAAACAAGAGCCTGGAGCAGAACATTCAGTAAGTTTGTAGCTTACAGAAACATTTCCACAGTTGTAACTCATCTCTCATAAGTTTTTATTTGAAGGACCATTAAAAACTTCGGTAACTAAAACATTAAACCACATTCCTTCCCATTTACTCATCCTTCCCAAAGTATCCATTTCAGAGCTGCCCAGCTGAGGAGCCATCCAGGGTACAGCCTGGATCACCTGGGTATATCCTGCACACCAGCTGGGAAAGCAACTTCACACCAGCGGGGCAGAGCTGCTGTTTCAGCAATGCAGGGGACAGTTTTCCAGCAGTGGTCTGGTGCCAGGCACTGGGATGATGTTCTCAGAGGTCCAGCACAACATTCTGAGCTTCTGAACAGCTCACTTTTCAGAAGGAGGGTCGTCATTAGGAACAAAGAATGATACCACACGCCTGAACAGCCGAGTAAGAGGAGGCTGAACCTCTTTGTATGTTATTTCTGTTGTCACTGTCAATCCAAAAGGATATTCCTTAGTGTATACTTCCTTCCGGGGCCCTTGCTTTGCCTCAGGATCATTTTCGTTCTCTAAGGAATAGAAAGGATGGTAAGGCAGAAGGGGAAGACAAAAAAGAGCACAGCAATAAAAATGTTTTACCCCTTTATCATGGCAGCCACATGGGCATTCAGTATTTTTTCTGCTTTTCCTTCCATTCTGAGGAGCAGATAGCGAAGATCTGTTAACTGCAGCCAGAAAAAATTATTTACTAGGGTAGATCAGATACCTCCACTGGTACTGGGCAATTATCAGTACTACAGTAGCAGTAACAAGAGGTTTCCCAACAACAGGTATCTGCGTTAAAGCTAGCCCAAGCAGCCCAGTGGAAACACGTATTAATTCCACGGTCTGACCACCCTCTCAGTAAAGAAATGCTTCCTAATGTCCAGCCTAACCCTCCCGCAGCACAGCTTTGAGCCATTCCCACAGCGCAAATAAAAGCAACAGGTAGGGAAGAGCCTAGCGCCCTTTCCTATGATTTGAGACAAAGCAGGAGCTTCTCCCATCAACACGGGATTTATCTCCTTCAGGAAGGAGTGCCGCGGACGGGCCGGGCGGACACCCAGGTCACTCAGCCGGCCCCAGCGGAGCCTGCGCTCCGGCAACCGCACAGCCCCAAGTGCGCGGGGCGGGCGGGCAGCGCCAGCGCTACCGCCGCCGGCCGGGCAGCGGAGGGAGCGGGGCCGGGGGGAGCGCAGGAGCCGCCCGGGCCTAGCTCCCCTCACGCAGCCCCGCGCCCGAGCGAGCTCCGCCCTCAGCGAAACCTCCCCAGCCCCGCTGCCGGTACCGGTGCCGGTGCCGCCTTTCTCCACGCGGCCGTAGTAGATGAGGGCGCCCAGCGTGGTCCAGGCGCCCAGCGAGTAGACCAGCGCGGCCCTGGCGTTCCACACGGCGGCGCGCCCCAGCCTCATCGCCGCCGCGCGCACCGAGGGCCGCCCCCACCGGGCATGCGCGGGGGCGGCGCATGCGCGGGGGCGGCGCAGAGGGAGGCACGAGCCGCCCGTGGCACCAACAGCGGGAGCAGCGCTCCGACCCCGTTTCATTTTTCATTAATACAGCCCCCTGCTTGCTGTGACACCTCTTAAGAGCATTAAAAGTTAAGCTAAAGGCTGTGAAAATCTCTGTTGGCTAAAACGCCTTTCAACTCTAATTAGGAGGTGTGGAAAACGCAGAGTGAACAGAGTATAGACAAACAGCAATACAAATAAATTAGAAGGGAAAAGTAAAAAATACTCTCCCTGAATGTTTATTTCGTGTAACAGTTAAAATCCCTAGTTTAAAAGAGAGAAAAGGAAATGTAAATCAATTGGTCCACTTCTGTCATCAACACGATCCATGTAAATCGTCTGCTCCTGCTGTCCAGTCACGATGCACTTGAAACTGCCAGCTTTTTAAGGTGGTCCATGAATACCTGTAGACTCACATCATCTGTCAGGATTGGAGCTCCAGATTCCTGCAGACAAAACAAAGGAGTAAAGAGCCTAAAATACTGTTGCTAACACAGGGGACGAACAGAAAGCACATCAAATGTCAGCACTCTCAACTAAATGCCTGCTAAAATTTTGCTTTTTCTCCTGCAAAAGACAGATGCTACTCTCTGGCAACAGCACTGACATTATCCTCTCCTACAATCTGAACTGCTGCAGGGAAGTTTCTTCCTAAAGCACTAGGAATTTTGCTGCCCAAAGTATCCAAAGCTCTACACAAACAAGGCAAGCAAGGAGGATATAAAAACCTAGCATTCTCAGCTAAATTAAATCTGTATGTATCCACATGCTAGTTGCGTTTTCCAGAATACTGAAAATGCATGACAACCAGGCTTGAAAACTCCATTTTGATCATCCAGTGCTGCCCATCTTATCAACAACCACAACAGGGAATCAAAGACAAATGTAATGCTGTTTGTGGCCACTTGGTGAGACAGGATGGCCACTGCACACACATGTCCATGTGTATTTTACAGCATTCCCAAACATGAGCAGCTCTTCCATTGCTTACCTGGCCCCAGGCATAGAGGTTATTGTGGGTCTGAGAAGGATTCACTTTAGACAGGAGGAACCGGGCCTATAAAGACAAAAGAGGAGGAGTTCAGTAAAATGAGAGACCTGTCTGCTCCATCAGGCTTCATCTCATCTTGGATGTATGACCAGCAATGTTCCTCTGCTTTTGCAAGGTCCTAATTTAACTTAAGCAGGTTTCAAGTCCAGAAATCCCTGCTCCACATACAGCTGTCTCCCAGAGGCACTGAGTGCTCTGCTACTGTGCTTGCCTGGCAGGGCAGCTGTGATTCCATGGGACAGGATTCCATGGCACAGGAAATACCAGCACTGTTCTTCTACCCATGCCACATCTGCTCTTCCAAAAAGGGCTCAGTGGAAAACTAGTGTAACAGAGTCACATCAAAAATCAACACCAAATCTTTGGTTTGGAGCATCACTTCCTGCCTCTTCACTGCTACAAACAAGTACAGCACACTGCAATTCCAGGAAGAGCGAAAATAAGAACAATTTTACATCCTCATTCAGTGTTTGAGAATGAATATACAGACAGTCAGTCATTCAGCATTATTGTCCTAGCAAGCTAACTACAGACACGTAGCCAAATCATTAATTTCCCACCTTTTTACTGGGAATAAAAACATATTTAAGTTGGCTTTTCCATTATTTTCCACCCTCACATTTCATAAGCATATCCAGCAAGTGATCAGCATATTAAAAGACAGAGTTGTAGTAAAAGCTGATATGAAAATATGCAAGGTCTGTACTTTGAAGAGTTAAACCGTGTTTGACTACCAGAACCATCTTTTCAGAAAAGCAGAATGAGCCATCTGCTCTAGGCAACAACAGAAAGAGTTCCTCCAGAAACTTCCTTACCTGACTGCCCCCGTGCTCAGTGTGGATGTAACGTGGCATTGGGAATCTGGTCTGCAAGATTTCCTGGGCATCATCCAGTGGGGCTTGCAGGAGGTGCTTAAAGTTTTCATATTCTGGCATGTCTTGGTATCCAGCTTTCTGCCACTGTGCAATAGTCTATTGATGGGACAGGGAGGAAATGAAAATGGAGTAGCAATGGCTACAAGCCTCCTCGTTTTACCCTGCACAGCAGAATGCTACATGTGCTTCTTCTTGGGGGGCAAACACACACTTTCACTACTCTGGCTACAACATTCCTTTCTGTCCCTGAATTTAAGCACAATTTAAGCCCTGAATTTAACACAAAAGCTGGCAGCAATTTGTGCAGTGCCAGAGCAGTTTGTTGAAAATCTTCAATATGCTTCAGCCTGTGTCAACACAGAAATGAAACATTTATAAATCACTGATTTTTTGAATCTGACTTGGCCTACAGTATTTTCAAGGCATCCATTGCATGTACCATATGTCTGCAATTCCTTTATACATACACAACTCCTCTATACACAGGTTAGACACTCAGCTCTTCCCTTGTCTGAAATTTACCCAGTTGTTGAGTGTCTTGCTCTGCAACAGAAGTAACTCCCGAAGATTTTTAGAAAGGGCCAGTATCTAAGCACTTCCCTCAGTCACAATGGAAAGAATACAGCAGCAGCTTCCAAAACCATCCAGTACTTAAAACCAAAAACTGGAAAACTACCTGATTTATTGAAGAGACTCAGTACTTAAGTATGAAAACCCTGCAACCAACAGTCTATCACTTCTCTGGAAATACTTGCAACTCTGTTAAAATATGTATCATCTTGTAATTCTGCCCTGCTTCGCTTCCAGTTTCTCTGGCCTTTTCCAGGCATAGTAAGGGACCACCTTCATGGCCAAGCTAACACCACAGCTGCTACTCAGTGCGGAACATATCTTTAGTTATTCCAGTATTAGTTTTACTCTGACAGTGGTGGGAATTATATTCCAACAGGCAGCATGTATATGACATGGTCATTATGCTGTGTAGGCTTTGCAAGAAATTAGTTTTTTAACATTGCATAGTAGCAGCAAAGCTGTCTGCATGCGTGGCAGGAGGGAAGGAGTACAAACAGAGAAAGATAAGGTGTTTCACCATACCTCACCAAGGTAGATGACTATCTGGAAGAAAGTATCCATCAGTAGGATTCTGTCAGGAAGAATACTGCTGCTGTCCAAGAGCACTGGCTGGGGAAAATAAAGAACAAAGTTAGGCACCCCTAAAACCCTCAGAACTCAGGATAACACAGAGCAATTTCTATGTCCATCCAAGTGTTAATTTGATATTATCTTGAATAAAAGTATCTTGTCCTTTTTTTTTTTTAATCTACAGGGGCCTTTTGGCTGAAATATTGTTACTTCAACTGAATACTCATTATTTTGGGTCGATTGACCTCTTCCTGGAAAACACAGACTCACCTCAGGAGGCCCATGGAAAGAATAAGTATAAAGGATGGGCTGGATCATAATGAGGGACTGGGTCAGATCCTGCCTGGCAAAGTGGTGCCGGTAATAGGAAGATTCATCTGGACTGTTATTGAACACCTGCAGGAATGGGGAGCGCCGCAGGTGGAAGATGAACTGCACCAGAAAGAGGAGTGAGACAAGAAATGTTAGCTAAAGTTGCCAAAACATCTGGACCCAATTCCAGTATTTCTGAACAGCAAATTCTTTGGGAAGAAGTCTGCCCCTTAATAACTCCTCAGACTTCTTCCCTTATCAGTTTCTTGCAGTGCTGAACTACAGGACCAGTCCATTAAATTAAAAAAGCACCTCTTCCTCCCCTCCTGAATCTGATAAATAGTGCAAGATGTTTTATCATCAGTCCCACTCCCCCCTGCACACTTTTCCCATGGCTATGGTAAGTGACATTCTTACCTGAGGATATAAAGAAAATGATTCTGACAGCCTAAAAGAGTTGGGATCATCTTTGTTGTATTGTCCAAATTTCTGACACTGTTGGAAGCAAAATGGGTACTTTGGTTATCTCTCTTTTTTCTATTTTTTTCCTTTTTTTTAATAGAATTTACAACTCTTTTTTCTACAGGTGTTCTGCTAATTTTTAAACAATCAAGGCATGAACCTGACAAGATCAAGTAATATAGGATTTACAGGCTATTTTTCTTTAAGTCAGTGGTTTCTCTCTTACTGCAATGAGAATAGAGATTAAACCTATTTATATATATATATATATATATTCATAAAGTCTAGATTTGAAATTATCCAAGAATGAAAGAAATGGTGCCTCTACAGCACTACCCATTTTTTCCCATTAATTCAGGGCTATTACACCTAAACTGTTCTGTACACTACAGAACACTTCTTGCAGAACAGCAGATCAGTATTTCACCGTTTCACTGAAAATAAGTATCACTGGTTTTAGAAATTAAACTCTAAATGATCCCACAGTCAAACAGTTTGCCCCTATTTGTGCTTGTGCTCCAATCTCTATTTGACTGGCCCTGGTTTTTTAGAGTTTGATGCACCATACTGTGTTAGTACCAACCCCCCATGTGGACAAGACCAGCACTGTTTAGACAATTTGGGCTTGTGAAATTTAAAGCAAGAGACAGCAGGAGGTTGCAGAATTAATTCAGATGACAATCCTGAATGCTGTGTCCAGCTTTGGGCTCTCCAGTGCAAGACAAACATGAATATACTGGTCTAGCAGAGGCCACTGAGTTAGGGGTTGGACCATCTTATGAAGAAAATGAAGCTATAGAATCTAGAAGCTGGGCTTGTTTATCCTGGTAAAGAGTGAAATCAGGGGGTCAACTTGCTGTCTACCTGACTGGTAACTGGGGAAATGGAAATTCTGACTGAGACATAGAGGCAAGGAAGAAAAAAAAAAAAAAGAAAACAACAGTGACTGTGACCAGACATTGGAACAGGCTGTCAAGAGAAGCATAAGAAATCTCACCTTTGGAGAGCTTCAAAACACAACTGAACAAAACTCGGAGAAAGCTGCTCTAACTTCAGAGTGGTCCTACTTTAAGCAGGAGGGTTGAATCAGTGACCATCCCA